ACAAGTTTCCTTGCTGGCTAAGCAATTCTTATCTCCCCCACCCCCCAAAATGAGAGAAGGGAGATTATTCCCTATATATCTTTTAAAATGTAGGCTTAAAAAAAAAAGTTCATGCCTTAGTTCTTAGGAAAGTTCATTTACAGGTAAATTCTTCTGCGCAAAAAGCCCATTTTCTGAGTCGGCAGTGGGCACGCCATGATTCATTCCTAAAGGGAGGGGAAAAACAACCATCTAGTGAATACCACCTACACCAACAGTGTTGCATCAGGAGGTGAGTTTTAAAGCCTAAGAGGCTGGTCGTTACCACAGCTCCTGATTTATCTTGGAGTCAAGAACCAGAATTCTATCATCGACGGGAATGCCAAGGTCACAAGATTGGGATTTGGCATTCGTTTTTTCCTTCCATGTTGGTACTGACGGAATCCCTATCACTCAGTACATCTCCTACTTCACATTTTCCTAGAGGCAAACTGAGGCCAGGCTATTCTGCCATGATTCAAATAAAAAGTAAAGTTATAGTAATACAAGCGTTCGCCTTGTGAGGAACTGGCTGATTCGAGTCATATGGTTTCACTATTCCAAATCCAATGCTTATAATATCGTCTGAGGCTTGAAATGCACTTGTATGATTTAGAGCAGAGAAAAAAATTTAGCGCTGTGAATATTTTTTGTTAAATTATAAATATCAGCATGACCAATTTATTCTTCCTTTAGATATTTTACATTAAATCTGAAATTTTCTTAATACCAACCTTAGGAATTAATAGTCAAAGTCATGAGCATAAGTGGTTTTCTTCATAGTGTTATTCCATGATTTGCCAAAGGGCACGATAACATGGACTTCTGATTCTAAAAATCTAAGTACCGAATGTTCCCATCCAGGAAGCAGTGAGTCAAATGGCTAAAAATAATTAGTTATATCAGGGCTCACTATTAAATATATAGGCTACAAAACAAAGTGCTTTTGAATGTCATTAAACATTTAAGTATAATGCCTGCATAATTTTTAAGTTCAGGGGGTTAGGAGACAATATTCAGACATAGTTCAAGCAGAATTTCAATTCTTTGAGAGTACAGGTACTGGCTTTTTAGTTCATAGGAATTGTCTGTTTGAACAATGTCATGTTTATAAAGCCACACTGGTGAACGGCTTTGAAAACTAATAGCCTGATTTTGAAAGAAATAACATCTATCTATCAGAAGAAATACAATGCCTCTCTATGCATCAAGTCTAATCCTCCATCTCCTTCAAAAAAGTGGGAGAGAGTGAGAAAATAGAGGTAGAGGAAAAGAATCAGTAAACATTTCTGAATGCTATATTCAAAAAGAAGAAAAATTAGTAAATATCCCAAATGACAGTTTCAGTGCAGACAAATCCTAGACTGGATCTTGCTCAGATATGAATAATGCAGTAACTCATGTAAAAGGAAATGATGCAAATAAAGATTTAAAAAACCCTCCACTAAGATCAATATTTCTGTACACACATCTTCACTCACTGTATCCAGGTCTGTACCAGTCTGGGAAGGGCTATTGAAAAGACAAGCCTGGCGTGTGTCATGTCACATGTTGGGCTGCTAACCACAAGGTCAGCAGTTCAACTACACTGGCTGCTCCACAGTAGAAAAATGAGGCCTTTTGCTACTGTCAAGAGTTGCACCCTTGGAAACCCAGGGGTGGCTTCATCCCAGTCCTATGGGGTTGCTAAGTCGGAATCAATGCGAGGATGGTGGGGCTGAAAAGACAATCTATCTCCTTTGTTGATTTCTTGATGGAAATGTGTATGAATCAAAAATTTTAAATAAAAATGTATACATGTTAATCAATTCTAAATGGCCTCTGACTCCGACAAATTTGAAATATGGGTTGAAATTTGAATACAACCACAGTTATTCTCACTTCTGCATCCTTTATTCGACATGCAGCATAGATATATATGTGTTAAGGTTCTATGCCTCAAACTACAAACAACAATTTTTTTAAAAAATCTCTCAAAGACAAAGTCAGCGGGATGAATCCCCAGTCACAATGCTTAAGAACAAAGCAACATTCAGCTTCACCTGTAAGCTGTCTGGTGCCACACTACCCGTGGCACTCAATGACAAGGGTTTTTTATTGGTGGCACACTACACGTGGCATTCATTACAAGCTTTTTTATTGGTGGCACAATACACGTGGCACTCAATAACGGGTTTTTTATTGGTGGCACACCACACGTGGCACTCAATGACAAGGGTTTTTTGTGGCACACCACACATGGCACTCAATGACAAGGGTTTTTATTGGTGGCACACTACACGTGGCACTCAATGAAAAGGTTTTTTGGGTTTTTTTCCCCTGCTGCCCAGACTTAATGTAGCAGGAACAAGCAGGCTTTTGAATCAGAGCTCTGCCTGAGGATTTGCTTGCTTCTGAGATTTATACTTAACTGTAGTTTGGCTCTCTTATAATGTGATTCTGGGGTTGGAAGCGTCGACAAGCCGACAGAAATAACAGGAGATGTGAAAAATGCAACAATACTAAAAACAGATGTTGGTGTAAAATTCCAAGGCCATTTATTTGCTTGCTTTACTTTTGAAAGTACAACTCCTCTGTTGAAAACAAAGTACTTACCCACCAGCCCCTTCTAGAATACCTAGACTCAAGAAACTGTAGGAGAGATATAGTAGAGCATTTATGAGACAGGGACCTGAGAGAGGACAGGAGGTGGGAAGCAAAGGAAATCTGAGAGAAAGGGTGGCCAAAAGAAAGAACACTCCTAAACCAACCATACATATGTATATATATACATACATATATAGAATTTTTTTTCAGTCGTCCTTCACCAGCCTTCTCTCACTCTTGTTTTGTGGTAACTCCAAACGATGGGACACAGGTTAGAGTTATGACTTGAGGATAAAACAGAAATTACTCTTGAGCAGAACTGCTTTGTGACCAACAAAATCCTGGGGTTTCTCACCCCAGTCCCCCCTAACTTTTAATCAAGAGATACTTTACTGGAATTTCTTGGCTTTAGGGAAATTGGAGGTGCATGTTAGGTTACATTGAGCAAATACTTACATTTAGAAATCAGAGAGGGTAGCAGTTGTTATTACTTACTTTATTAAACCACAAGTTATAGTTTATTACAAACTGCCCCGAATTCTGCAATATATTCACATTAGTGTTCTTACCACGCATTTCTCATTTGTTTGATCCCGGGGAAATGATCAGTTGAGAGCTATTGCAAGGTAACATGACCCCTGGTTCTGGCGCAAACACCTGCTTTAACAGTCAAAAGTAGCGGGACTTGGTTATTCTGCATGCTTACATTAATAAACTTACATGATTTCCTGTTGGAAACTTTCAAGGGCTGCACTAATATTGCTGGTCGTCTCACGGCCAATCTCCTGGGGGGGAAATAAGGTGGACATGCCGATCAATTTCATCTCAAGCCGGAGATGAACAGAACACCAAAACACTGGGGGGCTCATGAGAACCGTGCAAGTGGGGGAAAGGGGGGTATGGGGGGGACCAGGCCCGGGGGGGGGGCCAGGGCGGATAGGGGTGCAAGGGCAGGGTGGAGGGAATGGGGGGTATGGCAGGGCCGGGGAGGGGGGTCCAGGTTGAGCAACAGAAATCAACCTGCTGCACTTACATGTTTATCCATTCTCTCTGCCCCCTCCCCCCTCTCTCGAAAACCTCCTGCTTTTTTATCCTCACTTTTCCTATCAGCACCACTTCAGACGCTAACACGGGATCTATTTTCCATCAGACTCCCAACACACACGAGAAGCAGAACGGCTGTGATATTTGCGGTCATTTTTCAGACATTGGGCAGACCATATAGAAACCTAAACGCTGGGGACAAGAGGATCTCAAGGCACGGTGTGAGAGCTTGTTTGATCGCCATCTCCGCTGGGATGATCTTTTGCAGAGGACAACGGTCTGGTTTCGGAAAGGCTGGGATGGTCTGCTGGGAGCTCACCTTTCCTGGAAATGCTTGGAGGGAATCAGGCCTGCCCTGGGGTTGGCATCCCCTTCGTGCTTCGCCTGCCACCAGGTTGCATCATCCTGGCTCATAATCTGAAGGATGTCTCCTTTCCTGAAAGCAAGCCCGGCTTCTCTACATGGAATTGCTCTGTCCTCAGTAGGGTCATAGTCGAAGAGGGCTTTGATGAACACCTGGAGAAGGGTTCCGTTTGGGAAGCACAGAGATTAGAAGATAAAACAGAATAGGCAAGATGGCCTCTCTTGGCCAAACTTTTATTTCAGAAACACTTTTTAAAAACTTGAATATCAAAACGAACTTTCTGGGCCAAAGTGGATGGCAACCATCTGGAAAATCAAGACGTCCCTCAGGCCTCCCAAATTTGTATAGGTAGCAATTACCTTGCCTTCTTTAGATGGGGTCTCCTCTTTGATGCTGGGTATAATCTTAAATGTGATTGCCCCCTGAGACTGAGCCTGATATCAAATGAAAGAGAGAATCATCAGATTATATATACATATATATTTTTTCTTTTTAAAGAAATAAGAGTAAAACAGGTACAAAATGAAACGCATCTGAAAATATATATACACTTGAGGTTGTGTCTCAGAGGAAGAGCCACATAAAGAAATCTGTTTTGTAGAAATTCCCGAAACCCAAGAAAAGATGAAAGTGTGTTAAATATACTTCCATAAAAAAAGATCACTGAATGCACTTTTACTTCCTGTGGGCTTTTAAAATAACGACTACGTTCGTATTCATTTTGAGCTAAGGCACAATGTGCGTCTTCAATAAAGACAAAGCTAAATGACTCGGGCAGATAGTAAGCAAATTCAACAGCCAAGCTTTGTGACACTAATTTCTGCCAAACCAGTGTGCAGGGATCAAGCCACTGCATTTAGGGAACAGGGGTGCCGAGAGGCCCGTGTTTCAGACCCAGCAGTTAGCTGCTCCTAGGTGTAAATTCTCCAACCAAAACCCACGAGCAGTTCAGCAGCATGAAGTCACTGGAGGAGAGTCGGAGGAGCCACATGCAGTCAGTCAGCTCTCTCAACAAGAAGGCAGCTCTCATACAGCACAGCAATTTAATAGTGTAAAACAAGAACCACAAGTGACAGTATCGTAATTACGAGAATTCGTAAAAGTAATTCATGATTCTTAGGAAGAACTTATAGAATACTATATTGTGTGGGTATGGAGAAAGCCAATATTTTTTTCTTATCTTCTCCCATTCTTCTGGCTTTTTTTTCCCCCCCTAAAACTAAACTGACCGCCTTCAGGCTGATTCTGGAGCCCAGCAACCCAACTGGACAGACTGGACAGGACAGGGTGCAGCTGCCCTTGGGGTTTGCAGGCAGCCTCATCTTTCTCCTGTTTAAAATAATTTATGTATTTAAATGTTAGAGGGGCTCAATACATCAGTAAACATTACTTTGGCTTAATCAACATTGGTTCTTATTAGTCCTAACATTCTGTGATAGAGTTATCTCAGCCATTGTAATTGACTCACAGTAATCCATCACACAGTCAAGATGAATGCTCATCTAGTCAATAAATTCAAACTTCTAGATTGCTTCCAAGAATTGAAAAAAAAAGAAATCATTACATATATGCTCCCCTCCGCCCCCGCCCCCCCCCACTTACCAAAGTTTTTTCCTTGGCTTTATCTCTAACAATTTACTTTTTAAATTGTGGTAAATATACACACAATGAAACATTCTTCACAGGTACAATAGGTGTAACATGTTCTACAACGGCATTCCTTGACTAAAGGGGATATGCATTTGAAATCTTGACAGTCTTAGATGCTATCTCAAAAGGCTATATTAATTTAACCTACCACCATCCAGAGCAGATAAACACATCTCTTCCCCTATCATATGGCCAACGCTAGGCATCATCTAACTTTCAAATCACCACCAGTTCACGGTTTTTCAGACACTAACGTTTCTTTTGTTAACTTGTCTGCACGCATGTTTTGCCAGTCGTTCTGTAAATGATTCTCTCTTCTCCCATGCTTATGAACTCTGTATGTTCTAAGACATTAGCCTTCTATCAGATATGTTGAAAAGTTTCCAACAGGATGTGTTTTCCTCTACAGAAAGTTTTTGATTTCAGCAGCCACACATCTGTTACTTTCTATTTGATTTTCACAACAAGGTTTCAAAGATATTTCCTACCCTATGTTCATAAAAATTATGTTACATTGTGCTAGTCTTGCTAGATGTTTTTCTACCAAGATAGTTAATTTGTTAGAAACTTACTTTTGCTAATGGTACAAAGCAGAAAGTGATTCCCTCACTAAATTACCAATTAGCCACTTAGCCATTTGTTGATCAGTTTCATCATTTTCCCACTAGCTTAAAATGCCATCTTTCATACATATATTAAATTTTTATATATACTGTTTTGAGCTCTTCAACTCTCCTTTGATTCCTGCGGGTTTTCAGCACAGGTTCCCAAGCTTATTTGGCTTACCCACCCCCCCCACCCACTCTTTTCAGGGAAAAAAAGTTACGGATCACCCCTCTGGTGATGATAACCTTTTGGACACATAACCTAGGATACAGTGTAGGAAGCTATCTGGTTGTCCAGCCCCTCCAGGGGAGTATCACCCAGACAGGAAACACTGAGTCACAAAATGCCGTATTATCGAACATAACAGGGCCCCATCTCCACTTTATCCTTATCAATGAACCTTATCATTCCGTGAAGGTCTAAAAGGATCTCATTCCGTTTAAATTCCATGTTCTAACTACCAACTTTGGGATGGTCCTGCACTGAACTCTCTAAGTCCTTTACCGCATCACTGACTGCTCACACGCTCTCGTTAAGATAGTTCACCCTTGCCAGTCTCAATGTGCACACGAAAACACTGACGGACAAGCCGAGTAAGTTCTCTCCCACGGGCCCACAGAGCAGCTGGCCTGCGGCAGTCAAGTCCAGTGCTCTTAACCATGTCTGAGATGGCGTGGGGTGACTTTAATTTCATGGGAACTGCACAATAAATTTGCATCTTACCAAAATCTGTATTATTTCCTCCGGCCTTTTATCCTCTACTGGGATCCCATTCACTTCCCGAAGTTCATCACCGACGTGAATAAGACCTGGGAAATGATGAGTGTGTTCAGTTAGCGGAGTGAACGGGGAAAGGAACTGTAATTGGCCATGGTCTCCATGGGGGAAAGCATTGGGAATCTCCCTTGATACACTCAGAGACTGGAGAGGAGACTGTGTCTTCAAAAGACAGGGTGAATCACGGGCAATAGCATAGCCATGCTGCCCAAAAAGAAAACCAAACAAGCAGCAGCATCTTGATCTCTGGAAATCCACCTCACTAGTTTCTTAGAAAAACAGTTTTAGTTTTAGAAAAGATTATATGCTTTTAGTAGAATCAGAAACAAATACAATTATATAAAACAAAAAAGTCTTACTGTAACTGATATCACTAAGCTGTACGCCAGAGGTCCGAGGGGGACGGAGCGGCAAACAGAACGTTAGGTGCCATTTTACAACCCAAGGCAGCAGCAGGGAAATCAGGCTGTGGCTGTGGACGTTTCACACGCACAGACGGGCACCTCCCAGGGACAGCGCTGCTGCGGTTCAAGGCGCAGAGCTGTGGGTGCATGAACAACTTTCTTGGTTCAAGGGCTTGGTTAGGATCATGGTTTCCCAGGCCTCTAACGGCCACTGCCTTAACAGGCTTCTCTTGTACCTTCTAGCGTGGTGAGTAGTGCCTGATGTCTTCACAGGTAGCAGCAGCTACCCAACATACAGCAGTTGGTCTAATACCGTTTATGAACTTACTACCCACCCTCCCTTGCTGTGAGACCAGAAGAGATGCGTGGTGCCTGGCTACAATATATATATTACTGAATCTAATATATATATATAATTTAAAAGTATATGATATATAATATAGATCTTGATTATATATGTGTGTGTGTATAATACAGATCTTGACCAAAAAGATGAAAAACCATGAAACAGAACTTCGAATCCTTATTGGAAATCAGACATACTGGATATATTGAGACCAGGAGAACTCAGACTATTGGCTGGAAACAACAATTAAATCTTGAATGGAAACCAATGAAGCAAAGTTTAAAAAAATAATTAATTTAGTCTGCTTACTGGAGGATGTGTACCTTGAGCGTTGTGCTCTTGTAAAGAAATAGTACACGAGAGCAAAGGGACAATACTAACTTCAAACACTGCAGAAAAAAAATCCAAGTGAGTGGGGCTGAAATAATGTGGGCAAGAGACCGGGGGTTGTTGATGATGACACACTATGAAGTATGTAACAATGTTATTTCATGCAAACACTACAGAAAGGGTTTAAGGTTTATTTTCACCAAAAAATAACCAAACACAACAACACAACAAATAAACAAAACAACTTTAATGGTCATGTAAACTAAGATTGTGAAATATGGATTACCCATCACTTCTTCAAATCAAGCGCCACACTGCCATCCGATTACCTGTTGTGCTATATCACAAGATAGTTACCCTCTTGATCTATCTACCTAATCCTCCCTTATCAACTATTTCTTTATCTGGTATTTCACATTTACAACAACCCTGAAAATCTATCTATTTTGTACATAAACAATGTACCTCTGGCCATAATGAAGACCAAGGACAAGGCTACCACTGGCTGTGATGGTTATGGGTCCACTTGTGGCTGGACAGTTACATTAACAGTTACATGTTTAGTAATTATGTGATTTTGTGATCGGATGTAGATTCCTCCTTTTTCAATAATGCCGGTTTTCACATGAACAACCTGGTCTTTGGAATCTAAACCAGGCTGCAAGGCATGAGTCCATTAGAAATGCTACACACAAAAAGCATCATGGCTCCTTCATACTCATTTAACTTTAAAAATCTTACCGCTTCTGTCTGCAGCGCCACCTCTCATGATTCTAGCCACAATGATGGCACCGGTATGCTCATCCTTCTTGATGGTAGCTCCCTAATAAGATAAAAATAAAAAGCATTTGTGTTGGATGGCAGGAAAGGAGAAGCCAAAAAAACAAAAACATCTAGAAAAAAGCTGCAACTATTAAAGCCTATAAAAGGAATAAGTCCAGAAGGATCTTCAAAAAGTAGAATGACAAGATAAGGAATTGCTCCTCCTACCTTCTGAAGGCCCCTGGTACAACTTGTCTTAAAACTATTAAAGTGGGTTCAGCATTTTCTGCAATACCCATCAATGGACATCCATCACAATTCAACCATTTTTGAAATTTTTAACCTCATCACTACTGAAAAGTAAAAATATCTTTCCAATCTAATATGCATGCATAATATCATGTATCGAACCACAGCTTGTACTCTTTTTATTCTGACAATCATACTCCAGGAAGACAGGGGACTACGGAGTGAGGACAAAGGGACCCACAGAGCTAACACAGGGAGTGAAGATACAGCCAGGCTGTCTGGCAGCTAGGTCAGTGATTCTTCTACTGCACTAAGCTACCGTCAGAGTGAGATTCCAAAATTCTAAGACAGAGAGAAAGCATGAGAATTAGTTCGATGGACATTTCATACCTAATGTTACGGTAAGTGAATGGAAGAAAGATGGCATTTAGATCGTTCTTTGAAAGAACCAGGATCACAGGGAGCCCTTGTGGTAAAGTAGTTACATATTATTAGGCTGCTAACTGCAAAGTCATTAGTTTGGAACCACCAGCCACTCTGCAGGAGAAAGGCAGGGCTTTGTACTTCCCTAAAGAGTTACTGTCTCAGAAACCCACAGGAACAGTCCTTCCCTATCCTACAAGGTCACTAAGAGCTGGCATCCAGTCAATGGCAATGAGTTTTGTTGTTGTTGCTATTTTGTGGAGGGTGGGGGGTGGGGGGATACCTAATGCTAAGGTAAATGAATGGGAAGAAAGATGTTATTTAGATCTTTCTTTTAAAGAACCAGGATAATGTAGCAAAAACAAACAGAACTAACATTTGGGTATACTAGGAAACCATTTCAAAGGATTCCAGCTATCACTCATTTGTGAAAGGTTCACAACAAATTACCTAAATCTTACGTTGTGGGAACAAAAGGCACACGTGGTTACTTCTAAAATGCTTCCAATGAACTCATCCTAGGCCCAGCACACTGCTAAACAGAAGTCCGGGGGTGGGAGCAGTGATGACTGATCCAGTGGTAAAATCCTCTCCCCTCCAAGGGAGAAACTGGCACTCAATGTCCTTCCTGGCTAACGGACGTTATGCAGAGAGGGTCTCCTATTGCCAAGTTTCAACAGCGCTTCAGGACTAAGATGAACCAAGGAGAAAGAGCTTGTGGTCTACTCTCGACGCGGATGTGAACAGCTTGGGGGACAAAACCCAAACCAAACCCACCCCCAGAAGCGATGCCAACTCACAGCCACCCAATGGGACAGGGGAGAACTGCCGCTGTGAGTTTCCAACTGTGTAATTCTTCTTGATGGGAAGGTAATTGAAAGCCTCGTCTTTCTCCCCCCCAGGGTGCCTGGTGGTTTCGAACTGCTGACCTTGTAGTTAGCAGCCCAGTTGTAAGTACTAAGCCACCAGGGCTCCTGGGGTGGGGGATGGAGGGAGGAATCGATCGGCTTTCCACCAAATTGACCTTGATGTTAACTGGACAGCGTTTAAGAATTCTGGTACTAAAATAAGTAACTTTTACATTTTGAAATATTAGGCACCTGATTTATTTTACAGTAATGAGAAGAAATTAATCAGCTTCCCAGACAAGCCACAAGCATTTTTTTATCTTCCTTTGGGTGCATTATTTGATCTCGAATCAGCCATGACTGGTGTTCGCTATCCCTTCTTTTATACATGCCAATAGGTCACGTTGACAAAAGGGGCGGCAATGATGGCCAACAGATCATCTGTCGCTTAAATGGCTTCGTTTTCCACTAATAAATGTTCCTTTTATTTTCATGTCCCAGGGGCACAACACGTGGAGGGAGGCAGGAGAGAATGAAAATATACACATGCTGTCAATGAACTCGTAGAAATCTGAACATGAGGGGAGGGGGGAGCGGGGAGGGAGGGGAAAAATGAGGACCTAATGTCGGGGGTTTAAGTGGAGAGAAAATGTTTTGAGAAACGATGTACAAATGTGCTTTACACAATTGATGTGTGTATGGATTGGGATAACAGTTGTATGAGCCCCTAATAAAATGTTAAAAAAGAAAAAAAAATAAATAAAATGATTTAAAAAAAAAAGAAATCTGAACATGAGTATAGATAGAAGCTTCCCTTCCTTTTTTAAAAAAATCATGTTATTGGGGCTCGTACAACTCTTATCACATTCCATCCATCCGTCCATCCATTGTGTCAAGTACATTTGTACATGTTGCCATCATCATTTGCAAAGCATTTTCTTTCTACTTGAGCCCTTGGTATCAGCTCCTCATTTTTTCTCCTCCCTCTCCCTCTCTCCCTCACGAACCCTTGATAATTATAAATTATTATTTTTTCATGTCTTGCACTGTCCAATGTCTCCCTTTGCCCCCAAAGAAGGCTATAAGGGACATGACCCCTAAATATGGTCTAATCATGACATCGGCTGATACCTGAGCAGAAAACGTAGACCAGAGGACAACTCACCAGTGGTTCTCTGTTTTTGACGAGACGGATGATTTTTACTGAGTCTTCATCATCATCAATATCGTCAGGCATCGGAGGCAACACGGGGTCATAATTCTTCTGCGCCACAGTGTCATGCACGGAAAGCAAAGCCTGAAAAGTTCAGAGACTTAAAAAAATAGCTGCAGCAGTGCATCAACGGGGAGCTGCCAAAAAGTCAAGCTAGATACAAAAGAGGGTGTGGCCAGAGATACCGCTGTCTTATCAGATGGATCATGGCCCAATGCAGAAGATACCACTGAGACGTTTCCTTATATTTTGCTGGCTACACAAAGGCATTAAATGGAGTAGAACATAGTTATGGATAACACTGAGAAGAATGGGAATTCCAAAACACTTCATTGTGCTCATGTCTATACACACACCAAGAGGTAATCGTTAGACTAGAACACACGCCTACTGCACGGTTCAAAATTGGGAAAGATGTGTGCCATGGTTGACTCTTTCATCATCCTCATTTAATCTGCGAACGCCAGGCAAGTCATACAAGAAGCTAGACTATGTGAAGAAGGTTAAAGGGCATGCTCTCTAACAACTTCCACATGCAAACACCCCAACTCAGCTGCTGAGAGCCAGGGAGGAGACTTGAGTACTTGCTGCTGGTGAGCCAGGGCTACAGCCTTCAGGAGAGAATTCAATTCAAGGGAAAGGAACCACAAACCTTCACCAGTGGGAAAGCAGCATCAGGATAAATGAAGAAATGTTCGAAGTTGTTAAGGATTTCACTTTACTTAGATCCACAATCAACGCCCACACAAGCATCAAGACATCAAAGGACATCCTCCATCTTCCGCCCACAACTGCTTTAAAATGTTCAGGAGCAAAGCGGTTGCCCTGAGGACTGCCATGTGGCTGACCCAGGTCATGGTGGTTTTCAATTGGCTCCTATGTGCGTGAAAGCAGGACATTGCATCAGAAAGACCAGAGAAGAGCTGCTGCTTCTGAATTGTGGTGAGGAATACTGAACTTACCACGGACTGTCAGGAGAACGAAGCAACCCGTCTTGAAAGAAAGACAGCCAGAATGTTCCTTAAACGTGAGGACAGTGGGGCTTTGTAGCGAATGTACCTTGGGCCCGCTATCGGAAGAGACCAGTCCCAGGAAAAGGGCATCATGCTTGATAGCCAAGGGTCCGTGAGAAAGAAGATCCTCAATGGGATGGACGGACCCAGGGGCTACAAGGAGGGGCCCAGCCTAGTAAGTGCGAGTGTGGAGCAGGACTGGGCAGTGTGTCCTTCACTGAACATGGGCTCACTCTGATTCAGGAGCGATCAGATGACACAGAAGAGTAGTTGTTGGCAGAGGGTGAGGGCTGTTACTTTTGGAGGGAGGAGGGAGAGAATGAAAATATACACGTTCCCAATGAACTCGTAGGAAGCTGAACATGAGTACAGATAGAATTTTCCCTTCCTTTTAAAAAAAATAATTTTATTGGGGCTTATACAACTCTTATCACAATCCATCCATCCATTCATTGTGTCAATCACATTTGTACATATGTTGCCATCATCAATTTCAAAGCATTTTCTTTCACCTTGAGCTCTTGGTATCAACTCTTTTCCCCCTCCCTCCCCTTCCCTCATGAACCCTTAATTATAAATTATTATTATTTTTTCATGTCCTGCACTTTCCAATGTCTCCCTTTAACCCGTGGTTTGTTGTTCATCCCCCTGTAAGGGGGTTATAGGTAGGTAATTGTGATTGGTTCCCCCTTTCTCCCCCTACCTTCTCCATCCCCTCCTATGGCTCCTCCCGAGGAGTTTATTTGTCCTGTATTCCCTGTGTTTCCAGCTCTGATTGTACCCATGTACATGCATTTCTCACAGTATGGATGACCTTGAAAATATTAAGCTGAGGGAAATAACTCAATTGCAAAAGGGCAAACTCTGCATGACATTATTTTTAGGAAGTAAGCAAATATAGGTATTTTTAAAAGTACCCCAAAACCCAAACCCACTGCCATCAGATCCATTTTGACTCATACCAACTGCCATCTAGTCAATTTTGACTCGTGGCAACTCTACAAGATAGAGTAGATCAGCTCCCTAGGGATTCTGGGGCTGAAAATGTGTACGGGAGGAGAGAGCCTCATCTTTCTCCTACAGTGTGACTGGTGGGTTTGAATCGTAGACCTTGTGGTTGGTAGTCTAGCCTGTAGGTGCCTATTACATGACCAGGATTCCTTATTCCAACTCATGGTGTGATCCTGTGTTTTCCAAGGTAGGTTATAGCCCCCCCCACCCCTGCCGGGTGCTGGACTGATGTGGTGGCAGGGAAGGCAGGCTGCAAAAGACGACACTTTGCACTTCATCCCGTCTTTTAGGCTATAATCCAAACGCTGTTCATTTCCAAGGGAGCTGAGTAATTTTCTTTTTTCTGAAAAGTGGGTGGTGGGCCCACTAAGTTTGGGAACCCTGCTATGTAGGCTCCCAAGGATGTAAATGTTGAAGGAGCAGAGCGGTTGATGGGTTTGAAGGGCCGACTTCGCAGTCAGCAGTCCAACAACTGCCCGACAGCCTGCACAGGGCTCCGTAAGCAAACAAAGAGAAACCAAAACGTATTGGTGGGCTCCAGAAGTGGGAGGGAAAGAAAAGGGAGCATGTGGTGCACACTATGCAGGGCGATGGATTAATGGGCGGAAAGAAGGAACAGTAGGCCAAATTGAAGAATACGGTCCGTGTTGCTGAGTGGAACCGCTATAAACTGGTAAAAGAAAACGGGAATGAGAATGAAGGCCAGGATGGAATTAAGAGGGGCAACCTCGAAACCAAAAAATTTGAAAGGGATAAAATAGGCTATTAGGTGCCACCGGACTGCCTCCAATTCATAGAGACCCTGAGCACAACAGAAGGAAACACTGCCCCAATGCACACCACCCTCACAACTGTCCCTAGGTCTGAGCCCATTGTTGCAGCCACTGTGTCCATCCATCTTGTCCAGGGCCGCCGCCTTTTTCGCTGCCCCTCCACTTTATCAAGCATGATGTCCTTCTCCAGGCTGGTTTCTCCTGACAACATGTCCAAGTATGGGAGCCCAAGTCTCCCCATCTTTACTTCTCAGGAGCATTCTGGCGGTACTTCTTCCAAGACAGATTTGCTTGTTCTTTTGGCAGTCCATGGTACTTTCAGTATTCAGCACCACGATTCAAGTGTATCAATTCTTCTTTCATCTCCCTTATCCAATGCCCAACTTTCACATGCCTATGAAAGGGACTGAAAATACCATGGCTTCGGTCCAGCACACCTTAGACCTCAAAGTAACCTCCTTGCTTTTTATTATACTCTAGAGGTTTTGTGCAGCAGATTTATAGCCAATGCCTGCACCTTTTGACTGCTGCTTCCATGAGCATGGATTGTGGATCCAAACAAGACAAAATCCTTGACAACATCAATCTTTTTCCACTTATCATGATGTTACTTACTGGTCTAGTTGCATGGATTTCAGTTTTCTTTACGTTGACCTGTAATCTATACCAAAGGCTGCAATCCTTGATCTTCATCAGCAGGTACTTCAAGTCCCAACTTTCCCCAAGCAAAGTTGTGTCATCTGCCTACTGCAGGTGGTTATAAGCCTTCCTCCAACACAGATGCTAAGTTCTTCTTCATAATGCAAGAGGGACAAAATATTGGAAGACAATATACACCAGGCAGTAGTATGTTTTTAACACAATAGGTATCAGGCAATGGTGGTCAGTGATCACTAAGGGGCCAGGTTAACTGCTCCAGTTTCCCCAGCCTCCTTAGTGCCTACAGAGTGTCCAGACGCTAAAAGGAGGGAGAATGTGATCGAGCAGAGCCCAGTGGTGTCCCTGCTTTGACAAAACACAGCAGGTAGACCAGGGAGGTCACGTGGCAAACGCTCTTGTGGCAAAGGAAAGGAAAGCAGTGTTTGAACTGAGAGCTCCGCAGAAGGGCTCCCTTGACATCTTGCCCAAGAATTGATGGAGGCAGGTGTGTGAAAACAAAACAGGAAAGATTTGACTGACGGCTCCTAACTGAGGGTACTTCAGCTCCCCAAGGGAATTTTGGCAGACCACGGACACAGTTTTTGGTAATCACAGCCGGGGGAAAGGAAAGCAGCAGGGTTACTGGCACCTGGTGTGTAAAGACTCCATGGAATCCTGCTTCACGTGGGATAACGTGTAGGGTGGGTTCCCCATCCCCTAAGAACTTATCCATCCCCAAATATCAATCGCTCACAAAACCCAGAGACCTAGCAGGAGCGAGAGTGAGCATTATGTGTACTCACATGACACGGGATTTATTCCTGCCCTCAACTGGAGGGGGCGCCTCGTTTGGAAGGTCGTGAGGACAGCTATCAGAACAGTACTGTCTCAGGCGTGTGGAAAACAAATTAGCCAAGCACTACATTTGGGGCTAAATGCTAACCTAGTTCAAGTTTAAAGGCAGGCCTCTGAAGGAAGTAGCTGAAGTGTTCAAAGCCTAACAATGGCTTTGTATTGACGACTTCCAACAAGAACATCCTCCACAGAAAAACACCCAGCACCAAAGGAGGTCAAACTCGTCGTGACTGGCAATCATTCAAGATGCTCCATCTGCAAAGAAAGGAGGAACTTACGGGGGAGCTTCGAAAAGTTTGTGGGAAAATGTAATTTTAAAAGATCATGGAATTATTCCATGAACTGTTTGAAGCTCTCTTACGAATAATTTTTAAAAAGCAATCAATAAAAACCAACCTTCAATTACACAGATGATAGAGGTCAGTAGACAAGAAAATCCTAACTCCTTTTAATTCACTATCTTCCAAACAGCAACGGGTTCAACAGAGGAGCCACTGTGAGGACGGTGCAGGACCGGCGGTGCCGCGTTCTGTTCCACAGAACGCCGGGATGGGCTGGAACCCACCTGAGTGCACATAACCACAGTACCGTATCCCAACGTTCCAGAAACGAGAAGAAAGGACAGGACATACGGATAAGGGGACCAGACGTTCCGCTTTTGGCGGGACAGTCCCGATTTTTAACAGTTTTTCCTGCATCCTGCGGCGTTTTTAAAAAGTCCCGATTTTTGGAAAGAATGCACGACAAGCTAGGGTACACGGTTTTCGGCTGCCATGTGGCTGTTTCGCCAGGA